GTCCGAATAAATGAAATGATGAAGTCTATAAAAATAATTCAACAAGCCTTGGAATGAATTATGGGGTCCTTATGAGAATATATATATATTACGTAGAGTTAAGATGTTGGGGTCCTTATGAGAATATATATATATTACGTAGAGTTAAGATGTTGAACCATGTTTTGAGATTTTGATATACCAAAAGTAAATATGTTTAAAGAAATTTTCAAATTACTTTTAATTTGATTTTCAAGCTTATTTTCGATTCAACCATTCCAATATATAAATTCTTCTTAAGGTTAAAAACTCATTTTTACTCCTTACTCTTTTGAAAATTCAAGTCATATACTAGAATTAATTTTCAAACATTTTTACAAAGGGTTTCAAATTTTAGTCAAGTTAAAAATCAATTTTAACCATACAATATTGATATTGCAAGAACAATACTGATATTGTTCATGTGGTGTCGATACTAGTATCAATACTAATAACATACAATTGCACTAAAGTAATGATACTCTCAACTGGAGTGTCGATATTACCTTGAAGTCTTTAACAATTGCAAATTCTAGTATGATATTTTGGTACCGATACTCTTATAGGAGTATCGATACTTCTCACTCACTAGCGACTAGATTTTTGTATTCCATACGTGAAGTACTGATATTCCAAGCCCGAGTACCGGTACTCAAAGAGCCTGGACAACATTTATTGTGGTAAATTTCATCCCAACGGCTCTATTAACTCCCACAACAACCCAAATGGATAGAATTGAATTAAGAGTATAAAAATAAGATTCCAAGTCATATGTGAAGACAAAGGATCATAGGTAAAGCCAAAGCAATCACATTGAGCCAAAATTAAGTCAACATTCTTCACTATGCATTTTGCTTTCAAAGAACACTTTTGTACTCATTTGTTTCATTTGTTAAGTGTTTTTCTTTGTTCTTGAATTGTGCAAACACAATCATAGTGAGTTTTTCTAAGTTTGTTATTTGTAATTTCTTCTCAGGAAGGGTTATACACTTGAGACTTTGGGGTATAAGTCTAAGTGTTGTAAGGTTATACCTTGTCCTAAAAGGTTTGAAGAAATTAATGAATTTGTTGAAATCCTTAGTGTTGAGGCTAAGGTAGTGGATGTAGACTCCATTGAAGAAGGTGAATCACTCTAAAATTGCTAGTGTTAAAATTTTTCAATTTCTTGCAAAAAACTTCTATCAATTTTTTAATTGTCAATTCATCTCATCTTGGCTATTTCATTGGTTTGATTGACTTAACAATTGGTATCAGAGCTAATCTTATTTGAAGGCTTAACATTCTTTTAAAAAGATCATTGGAAGAAGTCAATCATTTCCCCTTCAATGGTTACACCATTTGTTCTTGATATTTTTGGTGAGCCTCAATTCATCTCAAAGCATCTATATTTTAATGGTGCAAATTATTCTTATTGGAAGAACATAATGATGATATTCATCCAAGCCACCGATTATTCGGTGTAGGATGTCATCACCGACGGAGCACCAATTCCTTCCAAGAAGCAAGGAGGGCTTGTTATACCGAAGATCAAGTTGAAATGGACCGATGAAGATCAAAAACTTGTTCAGCTCAATGCCAAGGCCATGCATATCATATTTTGTGCATTAGGCCTTGATGAATATAATAAGGTGTCTTCTTGCTCAAATGCAAAAGGGATTTGAGACAAGCTTGAAGTCACACATGAGGGTACAACTCAAGTGAAGAAATCAAAATTTGAATTTCACACTTAATTATGAGAATTTCAAAATGTAGTCACATGAAGACATCAAAACGATGTTAGATCGTTTTACCACCATCATCAACGACTTGAGAAACTTTGGGAAGGTCTCTCCCAATTAAGAGGTTGTAAGAAAGATGTTTACCTCATTACCTTCATCATGGGAAGGCAAAGAAAGCACTATTAAAGAAAACAAAGATTTAGAGTTGTACACCCTTGATGAGCTCATCGGATCATTATTCACTCACGGGGTGAGATTTCAAAAGAAGAAGGAGGAAGAAGAGAAGAAGGTGGAGAAGAAAACTGTTGGGATTGCTCTCAAGTCCACCAAGGAAGAGAGTGATTCTAGTGAGAAAAAAGATGAAGATATGGAAATGTTTTCCAAAAGTAGCCAAATTGTGTTTTATGGTTATCGAGGGAGAAACTAACGTAACCTCTAGTTCATCCAATTTAAATGAATATTCTTTTGATGAACTACAAGAGTCTTATGATGAATTGGCCTTAGAATTTGAGATCATGCTTTCAAAGAATAATAAAAATATTTCAAAAATGAAAAATAAAAATGATCTCTTATCTAAGACTAATGATGAACTTGAAAGCAAGATGAAGGATATGTAAGTTAAACTTGATGATTTTGAAAAGAAAATTCAAGATTTGCATAACTTAATTTTTAAAGTTCATGATGATCATCGAAAAAGCTTGATGATCTCAAAGCTTTTTTTAACAAAGTTGGATCAAATCGATTTCAAAAAGGTTAACATTCAAAATCCAACTATGTTAAAAATAACTTTAGACAATACAAACATAGAGGTCCCCAAAGAACCTCAAAAAAAAAGTTGTTAGGAGTATATGGGTCCCCAAAGGGCTCATTACTACTAAGGACAATGATTTCATAGAACAATGGATACCTAAGGGGACTATATTATTGGGAACTAATGTCTATAGAATCAAAAGAATTTGGGTATCAAAAGTTAAAAATTAATTTATGTTTTTAGGTGGAGGATCATTGCTATAAGGCCCAAAATGTAAGCGCAAATTCATGGTACATTGATAGTGGATGCTCAAGACATATGACCGATGACAAGAACCATTTCAAAGAGCTCAAACCTAAAAGTGGAGTAGTAATTTTTGGTGACAACTTCAAAGGCCAAATAGAAGGAATTGATTCAATTGGTAATAATTCTTCCATTTTAATTGAATACATGTTATATGACAATGGTTTGAAGCATAATCTACTTTGTATAAGTCAATTATGTGATAAAGGATACAATGTCATTTTTTAGTCTAATGGTTGTAAATAGTTGTCATTGTATCAAACATGATTATGTTTTTGGACATAGAATATGAAACATTTACATGGTGCATTTAAATGATATCGTTTCCTAAAATGTATGCATAGTAGCTAAAGATGAAAAATGATTCATGGCTATGGCATAGAAAACTTGGACATATTAGCATGAGCATAATAGATAAACTTGTTAAAGTCGATCTAGTAAGAGGTTTATCAAGGCTAAAATTTGATTTAGATAAAATTTGTAATGCATGTGTTAAGGGGAAGCATAAAAGAGTTCCTTCAAATCCATTAATGATGTTTCCTCTAGTAGAGTATTGCAATTGATTCACATGGATTTATTTGGGCTAATTAGGACTATTAGCTTGGGTGGGAAACAATATGCTACTCTAGATACACATGAGTTTCTTTTAATTACTAAGGGTGAAGCTTTAGATAAATTCATCACATTTTTAAAAATAATCAAAAATGAAAAAAGTTACTCAATTTCTAGTGTTAGGAGTGACCATGGAATCGAATTTCAAAATCTTGGTTTTGATATTTTTGCAACTCTTGTGGTATTGGCCATAGTTTTTCATCCTTTAGAACCCCTCAACAAAATGGAGTTATTTAGAGGAAAAATAAAACTTTAGAGGAAATGGTTAGAACCATGCTTTGTGAAAATAATTTGCTAAAATATTTTTAGGCAGAAGCCATAAACACCACTTGTTATATTATAAATAGAGTGATGATTAGGCATATTTTAAAGAAAACTCCATGCGAACTTTCAAAAATAATCGAACGAATACGAACGAGGGTGTGTTCATGTTTTTTCGTTTAACTTTAACCGAACACATGAATGAACACGAATATAAACGAACACAAAATTTCTTGTTCGTGTTCGTTCGTTAAGGAATGTAACTTGCTTGTGTTTGTTAACTACAACAAAATGGAGTTTTAGCAGCATTTTTTAGTCCTATAGCGGCGTTTTTAATCGCCGCTAAAAGCACTCGCGGCGATAGTAAAAACGCCGCAAGAAGTGCCGACCATACCAGCGCCGCTAATGTTAGTGATGTTTGTGAAATAAAAACACCGCAAAAAGTCAAGATCTATAGCGGCGTTTTTGAAACAAACACCGCAAAAGGTCGAGATCTATAGCGGAATTTTCTAAACACGTCGCAAAAAGTCAGATCTATAGCGGCTTTTTTTATACAAACTACGTAAAATATCGAGATCTATAGCGGTATTTTTGGAACAAATGTCGCAAAAGGTCAGATCTATAGCGGTGTTTTTAGATACAAACGCAGCAAAAAGTCATATTTATAGCGGCGTTTTTATATACAAACGCCGTTAATTACCATTCTTTAGCTAAGATTAATTGATATTTTTCATATTTCATTTATGCTACATCACCTAAATTTAATATCATGTAACTTTATATAAATAACAACCATAAATTTTAACAAAATAAATTAAAATTTATAAACATTAAAATTAAATGTAATGTAATTTGACATTGTTCTCTAAAATTTAGTCTAGTTTATTTCACTTTCAATTAAAAAAATATTATTCACTAGAATTTAGTCTTCATTGTTCCGATTCACCAAGAAGACTCCTTGCACGCTTCAATGCTTCACTTGAAACAGATAACGACCTTCCACCTACAGTATGAAAATTGAGAATTAGCAAATTTCAGTTCTCATCTCATCCATTGTTTTGTCAACATCATCTATATTATGATGCCACAATGATTTCAACTCACTACGAACAGATTGCCCATGAGAACTTAACTACAATACGGAAAGCAACAATAGATATCAAATTTAAATTTATTAGGTAGAAACACCAACCTAAGAGAGAAAAGGAGAAAAATTTAGAGTAGAAGTTATAGAACTCCTAGTCATTGTTGAAATGCATCAACCGATAGTAGAACAAAGGAAAAAGAAAACTAGTTAAAAGAATTAACTTGAGGAGGGACAGAAAATAACCTCTGGAAATGTCCGTGCTTATCTTCTGTGCTGGGACGAAAGATGAAGTAGAAGGAACAGGTTTTACAACACTATTGTAGTTTTGTTCTGTCATATCTTGCCACCAAGCCAGAATGACCTTGAACTTTTTAGAAGCGTCTGCATAAATGAAGGGGAAGAGAGAGAAAACATTTGTTAACAATTTTAGTGCTCAATCTAAGGGCTTGCACATGTAGTAAACTAGAAAATGCAACAACTTTGACACGATAATTTCCTCAAACTAATACCATATTAAAAGGAAACAAATATACAAATGCATATAAACATTGATAATGGTGTTATCCCACATCCATCGAGTTTTCTGTGATCTTATAATAAACTTGGGTGTCTTCACCTATTACCAATTGGTTTTATAAGTTCCTGCCTAAACCCTTGTGACCTACATACATGATGGGAATGTGAAGTGGTGTTAACACACTTGAAATGCATACCACACACTTAATCAATTAACAGCTTTTATAGGCTTCAATAATAAATTATAAGGAAAATTAGGAAATATTTACAGTGGAGTATTCCATGGAAAATATTAGATTATCAATACAATAAGAATAAAAGAGAAAAGCAGAAACTATTCACCAATTTCCGCACTTCTGCTGCAGTGTCATTAGCAAGGGCAAACAAACCATGAAGCATGGGGAGACTGAAAAAAACTGCTCATAGAAAAACAAATATAGTTAGAAAATTTTAAAATGCTGACAATTTAAAAATACAAATATGCATTTCACCTGAAATAACCGAGGAAGAAATATGTTGATAGGCCTTTCAGCTAACCCAGGCACATCTGAATCCAGCACTTGCGGTATATCCTCACAAATCTGTATTACAAAGGAATGGTTGATGTGTTAAAGGTAATTCAAACCAGCATATAACAATGTCTTTGCCGGAGAGTGTTTGTCAGCTACATTTAATTTTTGACCCTCAAAATGCAGTAAGACCACCAACAGAAAAAGAAGAAATCATATAGGTTAGCTAGTGTAAGTTGACCCATTGGTAATCACTGGTATATATTGCTATTCGTTAGTGGAAAAAGCACCAAGAATAATGGAAACATGTTTCAAATACCATAGAATATCAAGGATTCTGCACCAGGGAAACTCCATATATAGAGTATAAGTATGTTAAGAAGAAAGGACAAAACTAGGGTAAAGAAGAACTTGAGGGAAACCTCTAAGAGGTGCAATTTGAAGGCAGCTTCTCATCGAGGGCTTAGAACTTTGTTCCACCAACAATGCATGTTTACATGTAAGGGAAATCTATTCTAGATGGCCAAAAATCATCTCACTTTTCTCACTAGACAAATGGGGGGATGAGTAATACATCTTACGCTAGAGATTTTTTGCATACTAACTTCATATAACTAAGGGGAACATTTTCAAATAGCTTTCACACTAAATTACAGTTACGCTAGAGATGTTTCCCAATTGATATTGAATTAAGCAATAAGACTGGCCCCCAAGAGTTCAAAACTACCAAACTTATAGGTTACATGCAGCTTTACATCATTAATAGAAAACACCAATAAATGTTACCTTTTGATTGTATAATTCACTGAAAACTAACAACTTGCAAACTTTTAAACGGATATAGAACTTATAGACATTCATGTTTTTTGATTTAAGATATCAACATATATCACCTACATTTTAATTTTTCAGGCACAAAAAATAGTGAAGGTTGCATCCTTTTATACAAATATGGTAATATCCATTTCTCTTCATTCATTTAACTTTCTGTACAGAGATGTTAATGCAGTTTTTTTCTCCAATACATCGAATAATATTTGGTACCTGAAGATATTAAATCCTTTTGAGATGCAGGGGATCAAACACATATATGTAAAAAGTACTACTTAATTCACATGTTCTATTTTCAGGATTCAGGGGAACCTTTTTTCATGATCTAATCGTATTTTACACTGCAGCAAGCATAAACCAGCATATTTGATTAATTTAACAAACGTACCTGTTCTTTGATAAACAAGGCAGAAGAATAAACCCCGAACTTTAATTTGAATGTTTTTGGAGCAACACAAACCTAGAAAAAACCCTAATTGATGGGTCAACAAATAGAACCAAGATTCCCGATAAGCATATAAACAATAAATCGCCAATTTACCGAAACTAACACTTCAATGACATGGTAAATCGCCAATTCAGGGTTGATCACGAATATTCAACGCCATATAATTCCTTTCTAGCTCTACAATTCACAACAGTAAACCTCAAAAACTCAGATAATTCAGAGCTTAAATTTTTCAGCAGAACCCAAGTTTACTTCAAACAACTAAAACAAAACCCAAATTCAAATTCCACCCATATTCATAAATATAACCCTAGAAATAGTAATTCGAGAGAAAAAAAAAACATAGCTCTTGACTAAATGTAAAACAGTCCCAGAAACAAAAACAAACCCTACTATTACATGATATGTAAAAATTCCAAACTTTCTAATTCATACGCGAAAATTTCACCAAGAACGAAAAAATGGAGAGAAAAAATAGAAATCAACAAACCACAGATCGAGAAAAAGAAAGGCAACGAAGCTAGGAGGAGATTCGCAGCAGATTAACTTGTAAGAGTTACATTTTACCTGATTTATTGGTGGAATTTGGAGAGATATTTCAGGAGATGTGATTTTTGGTCTCTAATTATTTATATTACTATTACGGCTTTGAAAAAACCCCGAATGTTAGAGAAAACGAAGTAACAGACGACCAAACAAATAATTTAAGGGAGATAGAAGAGAGAGAGAGGATACGGGTTGTTCTTTTAAAAAAATATACAACTCTGTTGCGGCGTTTTTATAAAATCGCCGCTAAAATACTACACTTTTGCGGCATTCGTCAGAAAATGCCACTATAGATGAATCCTATTGCAGCGTTTATGTAATAACGCCGCTAAAATTCTAATATGTTGTGGCGTTTATTAAAAAACTGCCACTATAGGTGAAACCTAATGCGGGGTTTGCATACAAATGCTGTTAAAGTACTGATATATTGCGGCGTTTATTAAAAACGCTACTATAAAATAACCTATTACGGCGTTTGTATAAAAACGCCGCTAAATACTACTCTGTTACGGCGTTTATCAAAAAAAGCCACTATAGATGGTCTTTGCAGCATTTGTTTAAAAACATCGCTAAAGTACTACTCTGTTGCGGTGTTTGTCAAAGAAACGCCGCTAACGTTACAATTTTATGGAGTTTCGAATGCAAACGCCGCTATATGTTTAAATGAACGCTCATTTAAATGATAAACGAAAACAAATGAACGAACATAAATGAACATAAGCAAACACAATAAATGAACATAAACGAACATAATAAATAAACATAAACAAACCTGCACAAACATAACAAATGAACATAATCAAACACAATAAATGAACGTAAACGAAAGTAAATAACAACAACAATAACTGAATAAAATTCATTATTCATTAATTTAACCTACAACTTTGGGGTTAAAATTATTTGGGTTTTAAATGGGTATGATTTATATTTTCTTTAATGGATTTAAGTGTAAATTATTTGGGTTTTAAAATATTAATGATTGTGTCTTAATATTTTAAATGGGTATAGAGATTGGGCTGAATATAAACGAACAGACATAAAAGAACATATATAAACATAAATGAACGAACATATACAGACATAAATGAATAAATATAAACGAACATAAATGAACTAATATAAATAGACATAAATAAACGAACGGATTATCGAACGTTCACAAACGTAAATGAACGAACGAAACATTTGTTCATGTTCGTTCATTTAATTAAACCTACATAAAATCTTTTTCATATTCGTTCGTTTAATAAATAACGAACATAAACGAACTTCATGTAGAACGATTCACGAATGGTTCGTTTAAAGGCCTATCCAAACCCCATTAGTAAGGAACATATCTCGAGCATAAATGAACCACATGTTTGCACAACGATTGGAAACTCTGACGCTACAGGCACTAGACTGGTAAGTGAGGTTCAGGCGATACCAGATTCTAACGCCTACGGCCCATAGATGATAGTTGAATGGCATCGGCATAGACAACCATCAGGTCCAGTGAAAAGAAGTGAAACAAATCAAGCCAAACAAGGAAAGAAGATCGCGCTTTGAGGCCATCAATGATAATAATCACAAGAAAGGAAAGTTGACCATTCAATCATGAGGAAATCCGGGAGATGAACTTATTGCAAATCTTGTAAACCCAATTTCCTCATTGAGCGAGGGAAACACTTTGCCCAACGATCATGTGAACGCTACTGAAATTGCTATCCCTAGTCAACCCAATGGCGGCAATCAAGGGAGTAAAGTTTACACTCAACAACTCATCCAAAAATCTACCATGTTACCGACGTTAGTGCTGACCGTTATGACAGACCCTACTTATCTTAACACAGAGTCAAGGATAGACATTGATGATGCCCTCGTTAGAGTGAACCACGAGCCTAACCCTTTGCATAAAGAGGGCATGAACACTCTCATGCAATCCACTACGTCCCCATAAGCTAGTAATTTGTATCAGTCGGAAGTGGTAAGGTTTAATGTTTCAATTTTTTCTTCAAACACTAATCATATCTTTTATAATTTTCTAGGCATGAAAGGACAAACGATGAAGACTTCATTGGATTCTTCTAGCCACAAAGCCATAGCTTTCAATGGATATGCAGGTATACAAATAGAAAGCCATTCTCTGCCCAACAGAATTCGACCACATCTTATCATTATCTAATCTCAAAAGATAGAGCAACCCCGTATGTTATTTGGGATAAAGGATTGAAAATCAAAGCTAAGACTTCGAATAGTCCATCTATCCATGAGGTCATGAATGCTACAGTACAAAATATCCAGGCACAATTTCATACGTAAGTTAACGAAGATGGTTATAACACTAGTGTCGAGGGCATTTAAAAATAAAGGCACTCATCTCTCTCTCATTCTTTATGGATTTTACACTAATAAAGTGGAATTGTTAAGGATGTGGTGGCACTTTTGGAGACTCGTATCAGCTATCGTAAGGCCGACCAAGTGATAGCTAAAACTGGTTTCAACAAATCCTTTAGAGTGAAAGCTATCGAATTTTTTGGAGGCACTTGGATCATTTGGAACAATACCCTTAATGTTGAAGTGATAGCTACAGATCCCTAGTTTATCACAGTTATGATTCTCTAGTCTAATAATTTCAATCCTTTTAGTGGCTATTGTTTATGGCAGCCCTGAGAAAAAGAAACGTGTGGCTCTCTGGAGGGATCTTAGTTATACGCGAAGGAGCATGGGTGCTTCATAGATTATAACAGGTAACTTTAACGATATCATGTCTAGCGATGAGAAGAGATGAGGTGCATCTAGAGGCAAGGGATGCAAATATTTTCAAAGGTTCATGACCAACACACCTTTATGGATTTGGATTTTAAGGGACCTCATTTTACCTAAACGTATGGGGGTGTCTTCGAGTGCTTAGACATATAGTGACCAATGATGAGTGGAATAGGTTACCTCCCATCTCTATCGTATTAAATCTAATCATCATCACCCGCTTCTGCTTTACGTTGTGGGGTCCCCTCCACACCTTATGAGTCCTTTCCGTTTCTTAGCTAGATGGACCAAGCATATGTAGTTTAACACATTCATCCATGAGAATTAGCGCTCAGAAGGTAACATCATTACCTCATGAATAGTATTACAAACTCACTCAATATTTAGAACAAGGAAGTATATAACCATATTTTCTAGAAAAATAAAAACTCAAAAGCCAATTTGCCATCATCCAAGCCGAGTTGGAAAAAAGTGAGAACAACCACCTTGTTGATAAAGAACCATAAATCCGTACTAAACTCGAGAGGTTCTAGACCACGAAGAGTTTTTGTGGCACCAAAAATCAAGAAGAGATACACTAAGTTATGTTTGAGATTTTGATATACCAAAAATAAATAAGTTTAAAGAAATTCTAAGGTTATTTTTAATTTGACTTTTAAACTTATATTCGATTAAACTATTTGAATATATAAATTCTTTTTAAATTCAAAAACTCCATATTTACTCCTTATTCTTTTATAAAATTCAAGTCATATACTAGAAATAATTTTCAAACAATTTTACAAAGGGTTTCGGATCTTAATTGAGTCAAAAATTAATTTTTAACCCTAGAGTATCGATAGTGCAATAATAGCACTGATATTGTTCATGTGGTACCGATACGGGTACCGATAATAATGTATAAAATGCACTACAATATTGGTACTGGTACTGATACTCCCTTTAAGTTTTTGACAAACACGATTCCAGTAGACTATTTTCGTACTGATACTGTCTAAGTATCGATACTCTAAGTGGAGTACCGATACTCTTCTCTCTCCAAAAGCTAGATTTTGTATTTAATGTAGGAAGTACTAATACTCCAAGACCGAGTACGATACTCAAGCATCTGTACAACATTTATTGCGGGAAAATTAATTCCAATGACTTTATTAACTCCTACAACAACTCAAACGACTAGAATTGAATGAAGGGGTATAAAAACAAGATTCCATGTAATACCCAAAAAATTTTAACAAGCGACTAAAATGTAAATTTTGAAAGTTGGGGCTAAAGTATAAATTTAAAAAAATTTAGGGACTTAAAGTTTAATTTTGAAAAATTATATATTTTGGTCACATAAATGGATAATTTACCTTAAAAGAAGTAATTTTATGTCTGACAAATTTTTAATTTTAAATTTGTAGAAAACGCTATTAAAGGTAAAGTTCGATAAAATAATCGGATATCTGGATCGAATAAAAAAATTAAAAAAAAAATTAATTATGGTAGTATGAGATTAAAAATGGTTTTTTAGTATTTTTTTAGTATTTTTAATGAGAAGAATGCGAAGTGAACATTCAAATTAAAAGAATTTACCTAATTTTAGTGAAATAGTAAAATTTAGTGACTAAATTGGATTTTTAGAAAATTGAAAGGGCAAAGAAAAAATTTGAGAGATGAGATTTTTATATTTATTTATTAATATTAAAATGGAGATGAAAGAGTGTCATGGAAGTAAATACTTGAAT